GCTGGTCTCAGGATGATTGTCAAAATGTTGTAAAATACGATTCCCTGCCTGCAAATCTCTTCGTAACGCTGCTTGAAATCGGTTGTTTTCTTGTCGAATTGAAAATGATCCAGTCTCTCGCAATCTATTAAATGTCAACATAAACACTCTTCGGTTTGGCACTCTTCTGTTTGGAAATCGTCGTGCATATTCTCGCACCGCCTTTAAAGCATTACCGTTGCAGAAACCGTATACAAAAACCATATCAGCATATTCACTATTAGAATACGTACGCGGCATATTGCAAAAGACAAAATTCATCTACTGTTAAAGGCTTTCAAAGAGCGACTGACAAATTCATAACAGAAAGTGGAAAATGTAATCAAATATGTCGGTGCTAGATATGGCAAGAAATGTAAACATTTTTTTTCGATTTCTCTGAAACGGAGCAAAAACGAGCATATGTCTATAGGACTTTTTTTCTTAGTTTTTTACTCCTCTACACGCTCCCGAAGTTTTGCGATTTAATTTGGAAACACCCTGTATATGTATTTGATATATATATCATTGAAATATCGATTTTGTAAAGCTTATTAGTGCTACGCAAACATTTCGAACCAATTTCCAAACGACTTTTAAACTTTGATTGTGAGCTTGTAGTATTAAATTGCACAGTGATATTTTTCTATATCAAAAAGGATTCATCTTTTTTTTTGCAATCGTAACATCACAAGGTTTTCTTCGGAAAGATCCCATCTTCAAAGGATTAAAAAATTACTTTCATATCGGTTTTTTGCAATTCGTTACTCATAAAACCCCGTCAAATCGTCGCGCGTCGATATCGAGAGATCGATCGATCTTTCTACGTGTCTTCGATTCCGTGCGAGTGCGTCTGCTGTTCTAGCTAGCTGCGTGCGCGTGCTGAGTGACGGCAATATTGCGTTTCAGTGTTATGCTGTTCCTTTCGCGAGAAAATCTTTGAGCGAGTAGCAAATATGACGAATTCGGTGCCGGACAGGTAAGCGGCTTTGTTTGTTGTACAGGAAAATCTGCCAAGTTTCTCGAAATAGTTGAAAGTCGCTTGCGTAACGTTATCGCAAGTAGGATCGAATCGTAGTGAGGTTACGTTGTGCCGACTTTTTAGAAGTTTCAGATTGTTTCAGATACGTCGTAGCCGCGTTGCTAAAACGCAATCGTACGCGATCGTTGATCCGCGAAGCGTAGTGTCGTTTTTATCTAACGTATCAAAATAGAACCGACAGCAAGGCATACTGCTGACTCCGGGAAAACGATTCGACGCTATTTTCAGAGATAGCTAACTTATCAACGGAGTACGCAGAGTACACGTATCTGATCACTCGCACTCGCTGTTTCCCGCCTTTTTTTCCAAGATGGAGTTATTCACCTGCTCGCCAATATTCGAATGCGATTTACTCGGCGAGTTAGTTTGATTCCTGCGATTATTAATCTTCGACTAGGAGGTTAATCATGTGACTTTCTTTAAGGCAGAAACGTGAAAAGTGCAGGGCTGGGTAATCATTTAAAATGCCAAATATAAAATACTTAAAAAAATGTATTTAAAATGCAAAAATATCCAGCCCTGGATAAGTGAACATTTTTTGTATTTTTTATGTACATAGATACATACATTCATAAAAATTTTCACTTTTCACATTTCCGCTCTGGGGAAAAAACTACATGATTGATAGTATCGACCCGCTATATCCTGCAGATCTTGTTTTTAAATAAGTACATTCTACAGTAGAGCAGTAAGCCTTAAGGGGATGCTGGAGTATCGACAGAACTCTCATTTCGTATTTCTCAAACCATTTCGTTTTTCTTATACAGAATAAAAAATCCTCCAGAATAAAAAAAAACGCAAATACCTTTGGAAAAATACAAACAGGTATGAGAGAGAAAATCCCCCAAAAATTGTAAATTACACTTTTATGTTACCATGTAAGTTCGCTTCCTTCACATATATATAAATGAATGCAAGGATATATCCAAACAAAAAGTACTTTTCCATATTTGAATAATTTATAAGAGTATTATGAGACCTTCAAATTATGATTTTGAAGCTTACAAGAGAAATGGCTTGAGAAGTACGATTTAAGTGTAATCTCCCATTCATGTGATATGTAGGATATAGCAGAGCAAGAAAAATACGTAACGTTTTACTTAATGATTTTGCTTAATGTACGTAATGTTTTAATTAACGTATGTAATGTTTTCTTGATGTACGTAATATTTTATTTGGAATTAAAAATCTGTTTTATCGACATCGATCAAGTTCGGCCGTCGCTCTAGCATCCCATCTGTGAAATATAGAATCTGTGAAAGAGAAAAAAAGTATTTGTTATACAAAAATTACGATTTAGTCGGTAATAGAGCAGACGGCTTTAGGATCCTTTTAAGGGGATGCTGGAGTCGCCTGTATTACCGATAAAACTAGCGTTTTTAATGTTTTTGTTCTTGTCGAATTTCTTCGTAATGGTTTCACAGAATAAAAATTCCTTTTCCACGATTAAAATATACATGCTAATGTATTTGTCACTGGTGTATTTTGTGTTCAAAGCTGGAAAAGATAAAAAATTACAGATTTCTTTATCCATTTTTATCTCAGTATGGCGACCAACGCTGAAGGTAAAATGAATAAAGAAATTTGTATTTTTTTATTTTTTCTCTAGCTTTGAACACAAAATACACCAGCGACAAATACATTAGCGTGTACATTTTAATCGTGAAAAAGAAATTTTTATTCTGTGAAACCATTACGAAGAAATTCGACAGGAACAAAAACATCAAAAACGCTAGTTTTATCGGTAATACAGGCGGCTCCAGCATCACCTTAAGTCAGGAAATTGGCAAATTATTCTCCTCACATTTGACTATAATTGATCAATTTCTTACAGCGACGTCTTATTACTCTATTGTATAATAGATTGCGTTACGTAATAATTATCGCGCCGGATGTTTAGTTCTTTCAGTGACGCTCTTTTGTAAAGTAGTCGATATCGATTAGAGTAAATGAGGCGAAGAATTATACGGTTCTGTAAGATATAAATATGTGATATTTGCGTGCAATTGTATCGATTTAAATCGGTTGATTAAAACTGATAGTAAATGGAAGGACGCAAAGGAAATGATGCTCTCAGATATCTCGATATTTTAAACGTATCATTTCTTTTTCATAACATTTACATTAGGAAAAATGTTTTGTTCTATGAATCAAAATTATGCTATAATAACAAAAATATATTTAATTGAAATGTACTGAACAAAAGCTATAATTTTATATGAACTGAAAATCTTTGGTTAGTATAAATATTTTTGTTATACATATAAAAAGCAGAAAAATGCATTTCGCAAGAGAGAAGCAACTAAATATTTGGTTATATAAAACAATAATATAAAATATGTATAAGTTGTTAAAAATATAGATATCTAACAATTTTGCTGAAAGCATTAAATTTTTTTTCTATATATAAGATACGTTCAGAAATATCAGACTCGAAGGGTATCGATGAACGAATATAAAGTTTTGTACTTAATCCGTTCAATTCGGCGTTCTCATTCAACCTATTTTCCTGTTGCCAAATCGCCGCAAACGCAACGCTGTTTATTATTAGTGGCAGCGTTTAGCAAAGAAAGCAGCTTCGTAAAATTCTTTAATATAATTGGTTTATACATTTAGATCCAAAAAGTTAAAGACATGACCAGTCATATTAAATAACTTTACAGTTGCAAAGCTGTTTTATCTGCTGAACGCAATCAATCTTATAATTATCGTTTCTGCGTATTTCAGATGGTTAGAGTACAATGCTTTCGGCGATGTAATAAAGGGCACCAAGATCCTAGCATTTAAAGTTCCGCTGAAGGATGTGAGTATTTGTGCAATTCATTAAGTCGTATTTTTCAACTCTGTAGTACAACTTTCACAACGTGCGCAATGATTTCAAACACAATTTAAAAAAGAAAAAAATTAACGATTTTTAGCAATAAATATAGTATGAAAATATACCATATAAAATATAAATAAATATAAAATAAAAATATAATATGAAATAACAAAATATAAATAAGGAAAGAAAGTAAGATATTTCTTTCGGATTGAAATAAGAAATAAGAAATAAAAATTGATTGGAGCGAATAAACAAAAAGAAAGTAACAAGCTCCACAAATATGACGCATTTCTTATATCGGTTCGGATTGTGAAATAATAATAGATAATCGATTAGAATGAATGAATAAGGAAAATGTAACAAGCACCAGAAATATGCATTTTTTACATTCTGAGAACATTGATCCTTACGTTAAATATAAAGATTTATGATTTAATAAACCGTTATACTTGCGCGATCTACTTCCAAGGAACATTTATATTTGATGTTTAAAAGTAACAAAAAACATTTCGGTTTTCTCTAAGGAGGATTTACTCCGAAAAAAAAAGATTTATTTAAAATAAAAAAAAGTTTTTAGGAATTGCATCGCTCTTGAGGAACACTGCCGCGGTTCACTCGGAAACAATGTCCTCCGTTCCCTGAGTCTCTCCCTCGTTTCTCGGCTGTCCTCTCCCGTACTTCTCCTCGCACTAAATCAAAGATTCTCTTCGCGGGAGTCGTGGCGGCTGCACGGCAGATAAGATCGCGTCGGATTCTCGAAATGGACGACGCGGCAGGTACACGCGTCGTCGCTACGCCACGTGCGCGCCTGTGTATGAGTGCGTGCACGCAAGCACGCACGCCCGCAGGCACGCACGTACGCATGCACGGCTCGTGGGATCGCGGCACGGGTCTCCGTTAAATCGATGCGAACATCAGGGAACCGGAGGAAATGAAAGGGTGGAGGCGGGAGAGCCGCACGTCTACTCCGGAGGGGTATAACGGGAGGGTGGGAAAGCAACGTCGTGAGATCTCGTATCGGCCGTGGCCAAATTGTCGTATTGTTGCGCACGATGACCCACTCCGTAGATATAAACAGGTTGATGTATGCACGCTCCTGCAGTCGGTGCATACGCAGTATTGCCGTCTGGTGCACACGGCCGCCGATTCTCCTTCGAGTTTAAATCCTCCGACTAGATAAAATGCTCCAATGTCGGCCGCTGTGCGCTGTAACGCAAGCTGGTTGACGTATGGCCGTTCACGCTGCGATCCATCGCTTCTCATTGAAATCCTTGGGATTATCCGGGAATACAATTTTTGTAAAAGGGACAGATGGTTATTCAAAGTTTAATGATAGAATTTTCGATTCATCTGTCATAAGTGACGATATTATAATATTGATCGGATTTGATCAATTCTATTTACTGCTTTTTTAACATTTATCCGTAAATATTGCTTACTTTGTATCTGGAGATTAAAATATTTAATGAAATTTCTAGGACATATAAGAATTATTAAATATAAAGAATTGACTATTGTCGGATCATGACTTTTACGTAATCTATTATATACATAATTACTGCGTAATCTATTATACATAAAGAATAGTTTTGCTGATATATCTAAAAATCTTGCCAATCTGAAAATAATTTTGTTGGACTATCTCAAAATAATTATGTAAGACTTAAGTTACTAGAATGTCAGAACTTTTGGCAGCATTGTTCATTATGCTTGAGTATTATTTTGATAGACAAACACATTTATTTTTATATCAGTGTCTACCTAAATTTTTAGATACTTCAGTCTTTCCATATAATTAAACTGGCTATAATAATCATAATACTCTCTTTCGATTTATGTTTTTTATTTGTGAATGTATGTTCACAACACAAAAAATGTATCGTTCGTACATGGCAAAAATTTTAATTGAATCTAATATACACATATATATATAATGTATATATACAGTTCTTTCTATATATTTAAAAATAAAATGTGCGCGAGTGAATTTCGCGGATATTAACTAATCTTTGGTATACGCTCGAAAAAGATATCTTGTATAAACAAGAAAATATTGTCGGCGTCTAACAACCGCGTCGCAGTATTTTTACTACCAAAATAATAAGTCGAGATCACATTGTCGCTTTCTGGTTATTGGCCTAAGGGCCGCGCATATGCCACGTTGCATATGCTGATTATGGACGATGCGGCGCGTAGTCTCCTAATTGACGGCACAACGGTGCCCAGGTTTCACAGGACATAAAACACTTTTATATACCTTCGGCTCTGCGTCGAGATCTCATTAAAACACGTAACGATAGTCTGCCTAATTGACCGCGCCGTGCTGGGCTATGATGGCGCACTCCTGATCAGCGTATATACCTATATAATTCGTTGAATCTCTTCGCTTATAACATAATCTCTCGCGCCGTCGTGATTCTCGTTATCTCGCCAAAGATACGATTAGACGGGCTATTTTTTATGACAATTATACCATACTAACGATAGTTTGTATGTTAATCAATGTAGAATAATTATCGATTAACATACCGCATCTATGCCGAGATGGTGGATGACGATGAAAGTTTCCAATGACTTCTTTTGAAAGATTGTGGTTTTTTATTTTATTTCCTCGTTGATGACGCTACTTACCGCGACATTTATTGTATGGTGGTATAATATATTTACATGGAAAATTTTACTAAAGTATTTAAAAATTTAGCTAGATCTAAAACTGATTTCCTTAGATCATCAAAATAATTATATAGGACGCTACTATGATGAATAATGTTTAAGTATGATGAATAATGCTGTGAAAAGTTTTGACATTCTAATAATCAGCTTGAGCGTCCTATATAATTATTTTTATGGTCCAACCAAATTATTTTCAGCTCTGTGTGTATATTTTGTTAAATATTTAGCGAAACCATTTTTTTTGTATATATACAATATACATATGTACATGTGGCTCTATACATTTGTTGCAACAGTGATATAACTCAGAAAACAAAGTTTTCCAGAAAATGGATTTGAATGTTTTTCAGTCATTAGAATTTTGGAATATCGATCTTAAAATGAATTTTCGATGAAGAACTGATAATAAAAGATTAATGCTCCAATTGGTTTCTACCAATGTAATTTAGTTTAATTTTAATCTTAATTTAATTTTAGTTTAATTTTAATCTCGGTTCACTAATGCTTCTTCTTTTTCTAATTATAAGAACTAGAAAAAGATAAAGAGTAAGTTGAATTGATTAAAGTTAATCTACATTGGGATAGAAATGGGTACAAAAGAATGCTTTTTTTTCTTTATGTTTTCATTTTTTTTCTGCAATCAACTAAAAAAAATGATCATTTTTGAGTTATATTATTATTGTAGTAAATGAGCGACATACATATAATCGATAGAAATAATGCTTTTATCGTATCTGTAAAGATAAAATTGATCGCGTACGCGAATTTCATTAATGTTAGCCTGCTGACGTTAACTTTAATAAGGCTAAGAACTCAAGAGACTTGGCGCCATCCTTTATCCAGCCGTAACGTCCGCTGGATGTATCACAGGCCGGTTGTGTCAAAAAACCCGCCGGATCTGAGCGGCAAAATTAGCGATCCTAATTCGCCACACGGTCGGAGATGAGCAGCAACGCTCTGATCCCCGTTTGTCCCGAGCTATTTAATTTCCGCCTAACTCGCGGCTCCGGAACCGGTTTTTCCCGTCCACCGGCCGTTCCCGCGCGCGCAGGACAGTTGCAAATAAGTTTCGGCTCGCCGGGATCGCCTGCTATGCATATATGTTGTGCATGCATACGCAAAATAGGAGGGTGCCAGGGCTAATTGATTCTGGCGTCGCGGGCATTACATAAAACAAGTCGAAGCCAGGACCCCGAATTGGACTTGGGGCTGATTGGGCATTGGGCCCGCTGTGGCGGCGTCGGCCGCGGGGGGGCCACTCGTTAATAGGGCCCTCAAAGGGTCAGTGCTAGCACCCATTTTCTTGGGCTGCCTCGGCTCGCGCACGGCGAACGCTTCTTCATCATCTATAAGAACTTGTAACAAATATCGGATCGGCTCACACGAAATGTGATACTCTGCCGACGCTTTACCGTAGACATTCTGTCTTTCTCTCGTAGTCTGATTGGGGAACGCTGTTGATCTGATGGATTTAAGATGGCGTTAGTCATATGCTGTCGGTGGATGCAGAGTCCCTGTGCAGAGTTGCCTCTTCTATGATGAATTATGGAAATGAGAAGAGAAACGCTTTTATAAATAGATCCTACTCTCTTGAATTTTGAAACTTGACGTTATATAAATATTGCTTTTGCATTTCCTCTTATTACTTTTATAAGGTAATAAAAAAGTTCGGCAAGTTTTGTATTTATTAAATTATTAGTAACATATATTTACAAAAAAAATTGGAACTGAAAAAAAATTAACATTAAAAAAATAGCCATCTTTGATTAAAACTTTAAAGCGCTTCGGAAATAAGTACATCAACGATGATCGCGCATTTTTCCACAGATAAATTTTTCCAGGCAGCCAGTAGAGTGGTTTTTAGTTACCAAAATTGATGAAAATTTTGATACACTCTTTTTGGTATTTAATAAGATGTAACTAATACTTTTGTTAATTTTTTTAAATGTATGTTACTACCCTAGGTATAAAGCTTTAGCGCAAAGGTCTGCCATGTTTTACCTAATAACCAATTTATATTAAAGAATTATTATTTTCTTTACTTATTTATTGGTTTACTTACTTAAACTTACTTATTATTTATTACTTATTTATTGGACGATAGACCATCAGATCAAAAATAACAGTCAAAATAGTCAATAAAAAAGTTGCGAACATCCGCATAGATCAAAGAATTGCGATACTCTTATAAATCTAGAACTCTGTCCTACATATCAATGTATTTTGTCATCATTTTTATATCAAAATGACAAATTAAGCTTGCTATTTGGAATTTGGGTAACGATTTGTTAAATATACAAAACTTT